GCTGAAGCCAATGACAGCACAGATGTAAAAATCGTCTTCCTAATCATTTGGAATGGCCCTTTAGGAGCTGCCAGGACATTGTTCTATCTACTTAGTGTGAAAAGCACCTTTAAAAACAAAAGCTTACAGTGTTAGATTGTGCCATGTTATATAGAAGAGCTGCTAAGTCAGCGTGAGAGATCATCAAACTATTGATCTCAGTATCCTGTCCTTACAGGAATGGCAGAAATAGATTGTAATGCCAGAATTTTTGGTGAGAGAGGGAAAGACTTTGAATTATTTTTGATCATTTTAAGTTTTGGTTATGTCCATATCCCTCAGCTGTCCCCAGGTCAATAGAAAAATGCATAGTGGTGCAGAAAGAAGCTTTGTATGGAACCTGTGTATGGAACTTCTGCTGACCAGTTTGGAGTAGCGGAGATCCATCTTACGGGATGAAGCTCGCCTGCATCCGGCGAATTTCATGTAGTAATAACAATTAATGCTGACTGTCACAGGAAACGAAATGAAAACATGCACAATACACACCACCTGTTTGCTGCTTGCTCATCAGCTGGTTTTGTTTGTACTTTAATGAACATTCTGTATCAGGGCAGATTAAAGAACTTTAAGACTGATATCAGTCACATGTAGCTCCTGTTAAAGCTCCAGTAAACACACTGACTGTAACTCTCTGCCCTTTACTTGTTTTCACTTTCAAGATCAACTTTTATAAGTAAGGTATGCAACTGAGCAAACACTTCCATAAGTGATATAAAGGAAAGAAATTTTTGAAATCTTTGTAGTCGAACAAAGAGTTACATACTTCAGAAAACACTCATACTCATGACTGAGGCTCTTATTTATCTAAAAGCATAATTTGCACGAGTGAAAAAAATATAGATTGTGTCTTTATTAGCCTCACATCATTAAAAATACACAATTAGTATTGGAGGACTTAGAGTAACTTATAGCAGATAAAATATATAGCTTTCAATTTTTGGATCATGTCAGCTATGATTACATAGGCTGACACAGATTTACTAATTGTGCATTGTCTTCTGTGGGACCTTAGAGGAGAATTTTACTGTTTTAGAAGACTCAGTCTCCTCTTTTCAGGGGAAATTTGCATGAGCAGACTTTCATCCACAATTTTTAAATGTATAAAGATGCACATCTAAGGTAGATTGTTTTCATATCAAACTATTTGATCTGGAAGTATAATAAAGCATTTAGAGTCATATGTCCCAGATTTTCATCCACATTTCAATTATACGTGTAGGCTTTGCTGCAGCAGTTTGCACTGGCAATAGAAAAGGCGGCGGTCTTTTGGAAAGGTGGCTCTTTCTGGCTGACAGCCAGGTCCACTAGGGCATGGTCAAATGTAAATATTTATGGCTATTTTGGCCACCTCAAAAAAACAAAAGAATGGAGTTAGGTTTCCAGATAGCCTCACTTTCAAATTCTCCCTTTGAAAGTAATACCTGGTTTTGTTATGGTAGCTTTTAGCACTGTTTCACAGCTTTTAAGCCTGTGAAAATTTACACACATTTGGATTTCTGAGGTGGCTTGCCTCAGAAATCCAAGCTCGCCGGATGCAGGCGAGCTTCATCCCGTAAGATGGATCTCCGCTACTCCAAACTGGTCAGCAGAAGTTCCATACTCAGACTTGCCACTTCCACTTAATGCCTTCTGTGCCAGCATAGCTATAAAGTTTTCTGCAGTCAAAGTTTAGAATGAAAATGTTAGCTGATGCTTAATTCTCGGGTCACTGCTGAATATCTGCAATACATAGACTGAGTCCCTTTTTACACACAACATGAAGAAGTCCTTTGACCTTTGAGATGACTGTTGATCTTTGGCTCATCCTTGTCTGTTTTCACCTCTAGTGTCAATGATGTTACTACAAAAGGAAGTCAGCAGAATTTCAGAAGACTGGTACTGTCTTTGCAATATTTTGTAGGTAGCATTGCCATTATTACATTAATTTATGCTCCTGCTGCCAGGTAACAAGAGAGAAGAGTTTTGGCTTCAGTGAACACAATTGCAAAATTCCTGTTATCCTGGATGCGGTAACACTTTGACTGAACTGCCTATTCACAGTTTCACAGGCAGTGATGCCAAAAAAAAAAAGCTCTGACAGTCTTCAAGTTCTGCCCTCTTTACACCCTCTCTAGCCAAGATTGCTTAGTGTTATAAAGAATTGCCATAATCACAGAAGCTGCAGACAGAAATAACTTACTGAAACCGAAACCCATGCAGGCCATACCTTACCATTAGGAAATCGCCTTTTGTGGGGTTATTTGGAGGGTTTTCAGTAGTCGTCTTTAAGGGTTCTGTGTGGCTGGATTTCTAGCATGTCCACTGAGGCTGCAACACGACCAGAAATGTCTTGACACTGAGTTTAAATTTTCCATTCTTTACTTTTCGCCCATATTCTCCTAATTAGATGTTCTCCATTACCAATTCTGTTCCCATAACAGACTTTAAATTTACAAACTTCTGTCACATACCAGTCCCTTTACAGCTCTTTATAGCTAGATTCTATAATTTTATCAGTTTGAATCTCTCTATAATCCTAGATACACAGTCATATATATTGCTATCCCTGGTCTTCCTCCATCGTATCTTCAATGCAGCATGCTTCCATTGATTACAAATGGAAATCATGTTCATAACGTTTTTAAAAATGGCCCACTTTAACTTTTAGTAGATTGATGCACCACAGTGGGACTTGAGAGCAGAATTTCATTTATAGACAACTACGTGCTGATCATCCAAATATAAAAAATTACAAAGAACTGAATTTCAACTGGCCTTTAGTTATTTTTACTACCTGAACTTAGTTTCAGCTCTGTAATCAACAGACCACTCACTTACTCAAGGTTGAGAAACATGCTTTTAACTGTTTTGCTGAATTATGGCCTTAGGCAATGTGTAAAGTTAATCTCAAATTAGTTGACGAGGAGGTGGGAGATGATGATTCTTCCTTCTATATAAAGTGAAGACTCAAGAGTTGCATTTCACGTCCATTTGTTAATTGCTACTCCACAATAATTTTCAAAAATGTATTTAGAAATCATTTTTAAGAAATAGGACACAATAGAAAATGAGACAAAGAAGATTCATTAATTGTTTTGTTTCTATTTTAGGACTGCAAGAATACCTGGAAAAATGTTTGGGCAAGAAGACCCCAGCTCTGATCTTAGTACCTGTGGTGGATTTACCTGGCAAGGAAGTTATTCATATAACATGCTGGCTAAGCTAGCGGTTTAGAAGAGATGAGTTGATATCAAAACACGCATTCCATCCAGGAAAGAACAAAGGAAGGAATTGGTCATAACTGTGTTGGATACTTTCATTAAGCAATATTGTTCGATTTAAGTCATATTTAGCTTGTTAATGATGCCTCATGATATGTGACAGTCAGCTTTGTATGAACAATAAAGGTTTCTTTTCAAAATATTGTGCTTTTTTCTCACTTATTTTTAGATACTTTCTGGTAATAGCAGGTGGCTCTTGGGAGATGTCAGTTGCTCTGATCACATCAGTTCTTTTGCTTGATATATTTAGGCCTGGTTATAATAAACTGATTATAACTTCAGATCTTTTGGATGGAGGTGCAATCAGAACATTAGTTGCAGTACTGTTTTAAAGACTTGATTCCTTTCAATTCTATGTTGAATTTACTGACTTCAGGCCAACTCATGAAGACTTTATTTGTGGCTAGATTTTAACCCTTTTGTTGCACCAGGGAAGAATTATTCAGAGGGGTATTCAGGTTGCACGTTTTACCCAAGTGAATAATGGAGATGATGTAGGTTTTGCCATCCTGCTTTCTGAGGCAATAGGGGGCATCCTCGTGCTTTACATCTGGTAGGCAGCTCTTATTAAAGAGCTACCAGTATTCCCCAGGGCTTCAGTCTTCTCCAGAAAATCAACAGGAGTTTTACCCCTGCTTCCATTAAAACAGGCTCAGACACATAGGTGAAGCTCCTATCGATTTCATTGCAACTGATATTTTACTCATGACATGATATAAGATCAGTATAGGAGAGAAAGCCTTTTGGACTTTGCTTGAGGCAGTAAGACACTGCAGAGAAATCTTATTTTCAGACAAAGGCTATAAAATTAAACCTTCAAAAAAGAGTATCAAACCTTTGCCTGTGTTCTACATCTATATATTCTCATTGCTTCTCTTCCAGCGTGCGAGCACTAGAGCTACATGACCGGCACTCTAGTTGCCCTTCTCTTACACCAGCATGTAGCTGAGATAACTCCACAAAAGTCAACTGCATGGCAGTAAGTTTACGTTGGGGCGACTAAGAGGTGGACTTAGCACTCCAGCTTCCTTTTCTTACCCGGTACCAGATAGGCACTTGGCAGCAGCTGATATGAAGTTAGTGACTAAAGATAAGAGGATCTTCCTCTGTTAGATGCTTTGCGTGTCCAGCATATTATGCTGATCATTACTTGAAAATAGAGACTGTAAAATGTCATTGTTCCTTAGCATTACATCAAGTGATATAGCAGAGCTGCCGTCCTCTTTAGTAAGAACTATTTTTTTCACAGTTCTTTAAATATTTTTAGAAGGGGGAAGGCGAAGAGCTTTTTATATACCAGTGTATAAATACATGGATTATTAAATTAAATTTCTTAAGAAAAAAGGGAAGAATCTGTTAACAATACATTAGTTCATTAGCATTCAGTATCATTTTTAGGTTAGACTGAAACATACTTGATCCTTATTCTTTCCCACAATCAGAAAAGAACTTGTTAATACCTGGATGCATCTGTTTTGTTTGAATTCTACTCTTTTAGAAAGCTAAATCATTTTCTTACTTCTCCCTGGAAATACCAGTATTTTATTTCTTTCAGTGTGGAGTGCCCACAGACCAGAGACACAAGCTGGACTGAATGAAAGAGACAAAGAGAAGCAGTCAGTACTTTCAGAGAGACGAAGGCAAAGCTTAATTTTTCATAGACGCATATGGAAACCAAATAGCTGGCATGAGTTTGACTATGTCTCCTGGAGCAGTCATTTTTTTCATAGTGAGTTTAAAAAGATACCCAAACATGTTGATCTTGGCTTTTGTACTGTACTGCATATTTTAAGGTGGCAGGATATTTGCTTCTAAAGAAACCAGCTTTTCCTGCAAGTTTTTCTGCAAGTTTAGTGGTGGACTCGGCAGTGATAGGTTAACGGTTGGACTCGATAATCTTTAGGGGCTTTTCCAACCCTAACTATTCTATGGTTCTACGATTCTAAGATTCATGACTCAAACTATCCTTTTCCCCAGTAGAGGTGCATTGAAAAATGGTAACAGAATGCATTGGTCTGAAAAACAGTGTGATTTTTTTTTTTTTTTCCTCAACAGAAAGCAAACCTTTTCCTTTTCTGAGACAACTAGAACTTCAACAGGTTTACTTGTGAATAGCTAAAAAGGAATAGTTTGCTGACTTTCTTCTTGAAAGGCTTCATACAGAAGCTATGTAAAACTTATATGTTATAAAACTATAAGCTGGGTCTGCGGTGTTTTAAGTATGAACAAGGCAATTTGTTCAACATTGATATGCAAGGTAGTTGAGTAAAGTGCTGCTCCATATAGAGACCTAAGACTTTTATAATAGAAAGAAATAACTTAGCACCATTTTATCTGCCTTATGCTGCTGTACTTTCATCCTAATTACTGGGTCCTACTGTGAAGAAGTTGTTTCACAGAGCTCTTTTTCAGTTTCTTCGTAACAAAAGTGCTAGCTGAAGATGGGAGGTGGGGAGACGGGCGCGCGCACACGCACACACGTGTTTCAGTGAAAAGAGGGGAAGACAACTAATACTCAAAATCTACAGATGCAGGGTTTGTTGTTTGGGTTTATTTTCACTGCTAGCTTTGCTGAGTGTTTACCCCAGCAGGTTTTAATCTTGAGACTATAAATTCATATATTGTGCTAAGATACTGGTTTTGAGGACTTTATATATATGTACACAAATTCTTCTCTTTCTCTGATTTCTCCTAAGCCTGCAAGAAAGTGTTTTGTGTGCATATTATGACACAAAAAGTTGGCTAATCTAGGTTCCAGCACTCAGAACAGAGAAGGGCTATGGTGGGAAAATGTCTTTCGAAACGTAACTCAAGGTTTTATTTTTTCTTTTCTCTGCTGTAACAAGTGTTAGAATATGGCTTACACATCTTTTCTTCTTTTTTCTATGTCTTGTTATAGACCTCTGTGTCAGAGAAATTTTGTCTCCTGCCTCTTTTAAAAATCTCTGTATATCAATTTCTTTAATTGCTTGAAAGCATGTTAAAGTGAACTGACCAAATGGGACTGCAAGACCAAAACTGATTTAATAACTTTGTGTTTTACTCATTTCAAAACCCGGTGACAGCTACAGTACCAGTGAGCCTTTACAATTCACATGGCTAAGCTGCTATAAAGGCACCAGAGCTGATCTTCCTAAATAGATTTTAAAATGACATTGAGATATTTTAAGCAGAGCTTATTTAATTTTTTCTCTGTGAGTTTTATAGTTAGATGATTCAGGAGCTGATTTGTTACACCAGATAGCATTGGTGCATCTTTCCTCTCAGCCGTCAGAAGTCTGACGGGCATGGGAAGCAGGATGTCCCCCGAGTATTAAAGAGGTGATCTGAAGCAGCTCCTCTCCTTCAAGGACATCCTGTTCCATCCATTATCTCCTGTCTGTGCGCAGTAGTCTAGTCTATCAAAATACAGTGATTGAATAAATCTTTTATTTCAAATAAATGAATGCATTGATTTAATAAGGTTTGTACTGCATGGTATAATAGTTCTCTAAATGAACACTGAAATCCTAAAATGCAGAAACTTTTCATGTTTCCAAGTTAAATCTTTGTTACTTCTTTCAGGATGGGTTTGCTGAAGCAAACCTGGTTTATTCTGTCTGTGAAAGTAAAACTGTCCTGAGCTTTCTGAGTACTATCTGGCACTTATTATTTAAGTAACCTGCTTTTACTACTATAAATGTCTGGCATTGGGAATACGTATTAAGAATACTTGACAATTTACTAATTTATGATCTCTTTAGTTGTATTTTAATATTTTTGGCAAGCCAGCCTGTGTTGATGTATTAGCCAAACATTCAAAATACAGACTTGAGAACTTGAAAGCTTCTTTTTTTTTCAACTTTCATCTGAACACTGAATATTTTTGTCATATTTTAAATTTTAATTTTAAAAAACAGACTGGGTACCTGTGAACTGAACCCGTATGTTACATGCAAGTGCCCTTTTACTGATGACTCACTGCTCACAATTTCTTGGCTTTGACTTCTGTTGGATTAATTCATGGCTAGGTTTTGCCTGAGGTTTCCTGCTTTTCTCCTATTTTAGACCACTGTCTGCTTTTTCCCTGTATTCCCAAAGAGTCAGGTTGTTCTGAGGATCTTCTCACAGGATATCTCACTGGCAGAAGCCTCCTTGTCATTGCCTTGACTCTCCATTTCATTTGCAATGTTTGAAAACCATTTCTTGGATACGTCTGCTCATGCTCCATTTCCTATTATATTGCTATTTTGTGATTGTGTCATTTAATCCTAAATCATTTTGAAATACTGTTTGCATAGTTTAACCCAGCTGACAAGACTTACTGTCCACAGTAAAAACAGGATGTTCTCAAAATAGGTCAGATTTCACTTTTGTCCTTCCTGGCTTTCAGAAATTCCTGCTCTTCTCTAAATTTTGCAGATTTCCAGTTCAGAAGAAAATAATGTTTCAGAACAAAAAGATAAGCTGAACTAAACGCCCTGAACAAATGGACAGCTGCCCCGATCTAGTAACCTGCTAGGGGACTCCAGAGTCAGGAGACATAGGTTAGGATCACACCACCCCTTTGCTGGGTAAGTTTAAGCATATCCATTAGTTTTCTTGTGCCTCTATGTCCATATTTGTATCTTTGAAATAATGTTTTCTCACCCTTGTAAAGGTGTTGGCAAAGAGATGCTATGTTGTAGTCATACAACCTGCAATAACAAAAAGTTTAGACTGAGCGAGCAGCACACAAGAGTGTGAAAGTAATGTTGTAGTGGGAACCATAATGAATGTGATCACAGATACCGATTTGCATGAGCACAATCTGGAGAGCTTTTCTCCCAGCACACTGCCTGCAGCAGTCTCAGATCACAGGAGAAGTCTATAACACATCTAGTAACATTAATGATACATTTTACAGCATGATTCATCCCCGACAATCCCAAAGTGCTTTACGAGTCCATTGCGTAAAATTTGCTTGGGCCGTCGCTGGGACAGCCCCCCACACACACTGGAGGCCTCCTCTGCGCGGCGTGAATGTGGACAGGTCTCTGCGGTTATGCCGCTGGGAGAAGAGCTCCTCCACTCTATGCAGTCCCCCAAGGAGGGGTATTTGCTTTGGCAGAAGCACAGTTACCACAGAGAGACTTCAGCCTCCAAGCCGCATCGCCA